TAACGATAGCCAAATGGCGGCCGCTTTAAGGCCGAAAATGCATTGAAATCGCACATTTTCACCATTCCGAACCCGGATCTCAGTTATGCATGGACGGATTTTGTTCAAATTCGGTACTTACATTAAACATAATAGGACCTTGATGCACGTCATTTTTTTTTTCGGATCAAGTTCGAAATGGCCGACTGGCGGCCATTTTCTTAAAGAATTCAGTTCTGGATCCGTATCCAAGACATGTCTGGATTGATCAAGTTCAAACTTCACACACACATGGTGCATCATGTCACAAATAGATATGTGCATTTGTTTCATGATCCGCTTAGCAATAGCTGAATGATGGCCATTTTAAGGCCGAAAATGCATTAAAATCACGTATTTTCACAATTCCAGAACCGGATCTCAGTCATGCATGCATGGATTTTGTTCAGATTTAGTACAATGTGTTGTACATATGCAGGTGCATTTCGGTCATGATCTGCTTTGAATGTATATGTCACTCAAATATGAACGGAACGGGGACGTGTCATTGACAATGACTTGTTTTATGTGGAGCAATGACAGATTTTAAAAGTTTATGGTGCAAGTAAAAAAAAAAATACAAATTTCTGATCAATTTTAATTTTTTGAAACTCAAGACATGGACAAACTGTTATTAAATCTCATCTGCTCCAGCATAGAAACATGTCTTACCAGATTGTGACACCACCCCAAGGCACAAACCAATAAGCTGTATATTTTCTTATCTTTTCTACAGGACAACGAGTCCCTAACGAGTGGCGATACTGAAATTAGTGAACCCAGTCTGAACTCCAGTGGTGACCTCACAGTTGACAGTCCACAGCCAATGGATTTTAAAAACGGAGGTATTTTATTTTAATGTATTCACAAATTATAACTTGTATTTCAGCACTTGTTTTATTGTATTAATTCATTGTTTTAAGCTCAAATCACGATGTGGTCACAGATTGATGTTACACACTAACAATACAACATGTAGATGCTGGGGAAGGGGATCACAGTAAAATATGTTTACTGTGCTGATGCCAAAACTAGACACAATATAATACATAAAAAATACACTAATGTTTCTATGTGAAGTTGTGAGAATGAATACATATAATGCATACAATAACTGCATATGTTTGAAATACTTTATAGGGTTAAATAAAGTTTAGTACAGCTTTTAATGGCATGCAACTTATTGAAACATTGTAAGCATGTGTCCTTGTTAATGGAATTTTGTTTCCACATTATATTTGCATTTGCACTTACATAGTGGTGGGGAGGGGAGGAATTGATTTTGTCATAATTACCTCATGAATATTCATGATGGTTTGATGTGAGTAAATAAGTGGACAAAAACTGAAACAGTGAAAGAAGTATTTTTTAAACAGTTGTGGAATATTTACCTCATAAATATTCATGAGTTTGATGTGGTGGACAAATCAATGAAAAAACATATGTTATCTGCACTAACTTGGTTACCTGACTCCTACTACTGACAGAATTGGACTTTGATACGTGAAACATCTCAACATATCATGGTTCAGGAGAAACATTTATAAAAAAAATATTGTATCCAGCCACTCCCTCAATTAATGTTTTTTTCTATGTAGAGATTTATATTTCTAATAATACTTTCAGATGAGAACAGCAGTAGGGCGTCATCACCAGCACGAAGTAAAGATACTGGGTCCCAACCGTTAGATATGTCAGGTAGCCAGACGACTGATCGGCCATTTTCCTTGACAGGGTCAACTGGACGTGAACTCAGGAGCTCGTCTGGTGATATCAGAACAGAAGCAGATGCCAGAAAATATGAGGTAAGTAAACAATTTCAACTACCGGTTGTATTTCTGCAGTCATCATATCCTTCAGCCTCTACATATTATTTTGGAATGTGAAGTAACTAACAATTTACATAATACCTTAAATTTATTTCCACTAAAAGTGCTTATGTCAGCAAAAAATCCAATATCAGTGAAAGTATTTCCTCAGCGTATGTATACGAGATTTGTGGCAAGACAGTGAAAATAAAGAAATTCAGTTATGTACTGTAAAAAAAATAGGGTAAATATATCTATCTTAGGAATTGTTTCTTTTTATTAGAGCAGTGATGTCTAATTAAACTTCTTCCTATCCAATAGGCTTCTACAAATGGCCACCTCAGTTTTGGAGAAGCAGGAAGGGTGCTAGATGGTGCAGAGGATCTCTCAACAGGTCGTGAAGATGATGATGATGACTGCGATGATGATAGTGATAAATTTATAGACACCCCACCACAGGGAGTAGATCCAGAAAGACTAAAAGCTTTTAATGTGAGTTTGATTGAAAAAAAAAATAATTTGATATGATGAGAATTAAATTAACAAGCAGCTTTAGGTTAAAAATGCAACATGGTGAAAACTTTTTTGAACTTATTGGTTGTGTAATAATTAAGTCTTTAATGCATTTCAGATGTTTGTGCGCTTATTTGTTGACGAAAATCTTGACCGCATGGTGCCCATTTCAAAGCAACCAAAGGACAAAATTCAGGCCATCATTGACGCAACATATAGACAGTTTCCAGAATTACATGAGAGATCACGAAAACGAATCCGAACTTACTTAAAATCATGTAGACGAATGAAGAGGAACAGGGATGCAAATGGCATTGATGTTGTAAGTGTCAAACATCAACAAGGGCAAATAAAGGTAAGGGTAGGCAACATGTGATATGCAATGAAATCCCATTACAATAAAACTATATGAATGTGTGTATATTGCAATAGTTTAGGCGAAGTATGACACATCAAAGCATACATAAACAAACAAACAAACAGTGAACAGTGAAATCTAGTTTGGTGATAAAAAAGTCATCATTTTAAAATTTGTCTTGTGATTATAGTATGATTTCAATGGGAGTTGCATTGGATGTCACACAAATTGCATACCCTTCACTTTATTCTCTTACAATAAACACTGTTATCAATATAATTGTTTTTTGCAGATTTTCGTCTCTGTAAATGCATTCAAGGGGTTGACAATTACACCTTCTGGGAGAGTTAATTTTTACACAGAATAGATAAAAAATTACAAAGAATTTATATTTTTAATAATCCACATTTACAGTACCATCATCTTCTGGAAAAAATAAGTTGTCATTATTCTACCATCTCCCCTCCCAGAGTATTTAATAGCCTACCTCTATGTATAAGCTGGAATAGTCAGAAGGTGAGAGGGATTGGTATCTTTAAATAAAGGACAATGATTGGTTGATTTCACTAATTTAATTTGAAATGGAGTGAAATAGAGACAATATGGTTAACGTGCATAAATCTCATTATTGTATGCATGGTTACTTTTACAGCGACCGACTCCACCTCATCTCACATCTGCAGCAGCTGAAAGTATGTTGGCCGCAGCATGTCAAAGCGAAAGTGAAAATGCAAAACGAATGAGGTTGGAACTAGAACAGCAGCAACAGCAACAACAACAGGTAAATATGAGTGTTATTTGTTATTGTGAATTTAATGTCTTCCTGGTTTACAACACCATTTACAACCACATCGTCCAAATTGCATGGTTTCTGGATGTACACCCTGACATGCCTCTAATGCATGCACCCAATCAAAGTTGGCATTGCTTATGGCGATGAAGATTAAACAAAAGATTGAGAAGTCAACTCGCCAAAGAGGGCGCACTTTAAAACATACTGGTTGAACAGAATCTGCCAAGGTATACATAGTGAAACAAACCTCAGCTGGTGAAGGTGTCACAGGCATAGTGATCATTTTGATAGACCTTGTCACACATCCTGATAATTTCGAGAGATTCTCTATTATATAGAATTTTGTTTAAAATGCAAGAAATTCAAAAACAGTTTAATATGGCAACAATTATATCAATTGAGTAACTATAACATTGAGTTACAAAAATGACCACTCCTATATTTTAGAAACCATGTCCAAATTGTATCTCAACGTTCAATTAACTGAATTTGAGTTATGGGCATCATACATTTTTGCTTTTGTTGAACGTCCACTTATACTAACTCAAACTTTAAATTAACAATTAACCGAACATTGAGCTATGAGCAGCATAGATTTGTTGTTTTGCTCTATTAAAATAGTACACCAGAATTGCATTTACTGTCTCCTCATTGTAACCATAGAAACACCTCTGTCAAAAATTAGAAAGAATTGACTGTAAACAATTCTTTTTTGTTGAGTTATCAGCAAGCTAATGCAAATTAATTGATGAAGGGGAAATAAAAAAAAAAACCCTACCTGTTTTTGAAGTACATGGTTAATGGAAACACACATATTTTGTGTAAGTGTATGTGCTACTAATAGAAATAATATGATATATTTTGTATGTGCTACTAATAGAAATAATATGATATATTTTGTATGTGCTACTAATAGAAATAATATGATATATTTTGTGTAAGTGTATGTGCTACTAATAGAAATAATATGATATATTTTGTGTAAGTGTATGTGCTACTAATAGAAATAATATGGTATATTTTGTATGTGCTACTAATAGAAATAATATGATATATTTTGTATGTGCTACTAATAGAAATAATATGATATATTTTGTGTAAGTGTATGTGCTACTAATAGAAATAATATGATATATTTTGTGTAAGTGTATGTGCTACTAATAGAAATAATATGATATATTTTGTATGTGCTACTAATAGAAATAATATGGTATATTTTGTATGTGCTACTAATAGAAATAATATGATATATTTTGTATGTGCTACTAATAGAAATAATATGATATATTTTGTATGTGCTACTAATAGAAATAATATGATATATTTTGTTTGGGGAGTGGTAGAAGAAATCAATTATTTCAGAAAGATTTCTGAAATCTGCAAGTGGTGGCTTCCCAGAGTCTGGCACACTCACACAGGGTGTTCAAAAATTCCAGTTGTGATTTGAATTGGCACCAACCATGCTTATTACATTGTTTACCTTCACAGGGTGATCTTCTTGTACAACAAAACCAATATTCTCATGACATAATAAGAGCAGATAGAAGAGCTACAGAATACAAGTTTACCAATGGTTTTGAGGGTTTTCATGCTGGAGGGATGCCACCACCAGTAACAGCTGCTCCACACCACACAGGGATCATTCATCAACAACATGCAACACCTTTAACAAATGGTAAGTGTTCCATCTACTGAACACCTCCCTTCATTCCACTTGAATGTTTATTTTATAAATGTTGTGTTCCTTTGTTAGGCTTACTTTGCAAATTGCCAGTGTTCTATCTATTGAACACCTCCCACCATTCCTTTGTTAGGCTTACTTCACAAATGGCCAGTTTTCTATCTATTGAACACCTCCCACCATTCCTTTGTTAGACTTACTTTGCAAATTGCCAGTGTTCTATCTATTGAACACCTCCCACCATTCCTTTGTTAGGCTTACTTTGCAAATTGCCAGTGTTCTATCTATTGAACACCTCCCACCATTCCTTTGTTAGGCTTACTTCGCAAATGGCCAGTGTTCTATCTATTGAACACCTCCCACCATTCCTTTGTTAGGCTTACTTTGCAAATTGCCAGTGTTCTACTTATTGAACACCTCCCACCATTCCTTTGTTAGACTTACTTTGCAAATTGCCAGTGTTCTACTTATTGAACACCTCCCACCATTGTTTTGTTTCACACTTCATTTTTTGGCTCCGCTGTTGACTTTGTCAAGCAGAGCTTATCATATGAGTGATTGTCCGTCGTCGTCCATGTCAACTTTTAACTTATTCGACTTCTTGAAAACTAAAATTGTTATTGCTTTGATACTTGGTGTATATGTACCTTAGACAGACCTCTCTCAGATTTGTTCATTTGGTAAAAAATGATATTTTCGTCTTGCTTTGATATTATACATATAGGTACTACAGTTAGACGTCTTTCAGATTTGTTCATTTTAATGATATCTTCAATTCTCTAATTGAAATGTGCATTGCTAACAGAAGAGCTATCTCAGCCGATAGGCTGCTTGCTGCATGTTCCATCTGTTGGGAATTGTACCAAGACAATTACAGAAATTACTAGAACTTAGTTTTGATTTTTGTTTAGTCTGTCAATAACAATCTTCTTTCATATTGGTGTAAATGGGTCGAATAATTTGACAATTCTTGACTTTGCATCGGTTTTCATAAAGAAATTAATTCCCATTTAAATGTTTGTTTGAATAACTGCAAGACACAATACAATAGTGAATCTTCAGATATTTCCCACAATTCATAGCATTCATATTTATTAATTCATATAATAATTCCAAAACCTCAATAAACCTTGATGATGAATAAAGATTGATCTTGAAATGAAACTTGTTAATAATCGGTAGAATCGAACAAAGTGGACCATTTTAGAGATGTGCAAACATATTTCTGTATATATTCTTAATCAACATTTTCCATCCTTTCAATTTTAGGTCCGACTGATTTGAGTATGAAGAAAGGCAGTACTTCCAAACCCCAACTGAATCCATCAGAAGTGCAGACAATCAAACAACTCATTGCAGGATATCGAGAATCAGCAGCATTTCTGCTAAGGTCAGCTGATGAACTAGAGCAACTGCTCCTCCAAAGCAACTGACCTTGTCATCCCTGCCAATAATAGACAAATCCTACACAAATTGTAATATGGGCTGAATTTTGTTGAAAATGGGGGAGGGGGGATGGAATTACATTGATGTGTATATTAGTGTGAATGACCACTGAATCTAAATGTCTGCGATATTATTTAAATTCTGCAGCATAACTGCCAATGAAATAACTTTGTTAACAGGATCTGTCACATTTTAAAACAGTCCCTTTTGTATAATGGTATGACCCAATGAATTGGATGTACCATTCATAAAAATGAAGGGATGTTAACCATAAAACTAGATTTCATGATCATGATTGGTTGTAATAATCTTGAAAGAGATACTAACCAATCAGACTAAGAACAACCAAAGGTAGTAGTCTTTTGATTGGTTAAATAGCCAGGTGTACCATACATATTGGCCAATCAACCTTGAGGAGGTTATAAATACAAATTTACCTTCAATTGAGAGATTATGGAAATTTCAACACTATTTAAATTTGTTGATTATGCATTATACCAGAGAAAACAATTTGCTATGATTTCAAAACTTCTCAAAATATGTTTTCATAATGCAAGCTGAATCTTTGTTTTAAATCAGGCACAAATTGAAACTGATGCAATATTGAAAACAAAAATCAAAGTTGATGTTTTCAACATATAAAATTTATTTAGTTGAAATAAAACATTTATATTCAACAAGGAGTTTCTGTGCCAGGAAGGGGTTGTTGTTATATTACGTAGAGCATAGGCTCTAATTCAGGTAGCTACCTCTTTTTACTGTTAATGTATATGTTCAGGGTTGATATTACTAGTTATTAACCTCTACTCAGCTATGTTGACACCGAATATCAACCTGTGGAGGTTGTTTGCAATTTATTTCCTCAAATTCTTTTTAAAAAGAAATAACCCAAAGTTATTTTTTTCCTTGTCAGCGACATCAGCATGCAAGAACTGTTCAGCATGGTGGAGTAGAAAATTAACAAACTTTAAACTCAAAATTTGCTTTTTGTCAGATGTTCAGATTCTGTGTTTGCCACGTCTTACCTGTGTGCACACTGTCCGTGCAATATTTTACTGTTATTAGTCTTATGTGCAATAGTATCTGGACATCTTTTATATAATGCTATATATATATAAAGCACACACAACCAGTGTTATGATGTGCGCTGTTTATTATTTTTTAATTTCTACTGCGTTTTTTCCCTTTTCACTCATGACTTTAAAATGCAGGTTTTCGATAAAAATTAGTTTGTATTGTAAAAAGAATTTCCTATTAATACCTTTATTTTTTAAAACTGCATCATTAAGTTGGTGACTGTACATGTTTTTTTATTATAATATTGTGCATCACTGCCCACTTGTACAGAGAATGCACTGCCGATGTTTGTAGGCATATTTGAAGTTTTTTTATTTTTGTAGATGCCGCTGCCACCAATGCACGTCACTGCCATATGTTAATCACAGCCGATTACACCACTGCCATTTATAAAAGGCATATTTTGTTATTTTTGTAGCAAATTTATCTGAGATTATTACCTAAACAAGATGAAATTATATGAAACCAAACATTTTCAGATTATAATTGTCTTAATTACATTGATTTATTTGGTGAATATGACATCATTTCTATATTATTGATACTGCAGTTCTCTTTATAGGGGATGATCAGAGACTGAAATTCTCCTTGCATGGTTTGATCTGATACTGCAGTTCTCTTTATAGGGGATGATCAGAGACTGAAATTCTCCTTATATGGTTTGATCTGATACTGCAGTTCTCTTTATAGGGGATGATCAGAGACTGAAATTCTCCTTATATGGTTTGATCTGATACTGCAGTTCTCTTTATAGGGGATGATTAGAGACTGAAATTCTCCCTATATGGTTTGATCAGCCATTTCCTTATAAATGTAAATGTCACTTTTGAAAACCCATCCTGGAGACAATAAAGTTTGTCTGTTCCAACATTATTTAATAAAAATAATAATCACTGCTTTGTAACTTTTTTTATGTTTAATAAGGTGTCTAATTGATGAGAAGCTAGGCAGGCTAGAACTGAGCAGTAGAGAAGCATGCATGGTTTACATTTCTATCAAAATTCAGATGCAACATTTTTATTATTAATTTTTTTTTTTCAAATATTAAAGATAGATCTGATTGTTAATATATTGTTATTACGTATTTAAATAAGTGAGTGAGTTCATAGCTTGCACTATGTTCTTGCATATTACTTGAACATTTAATGTTTAAAAAAACATAAAGTTATGTATTTATTGTTATTTCTCCCTTTGCAAGGGAGGCAACTCAGTAAAATATTTAAATAAATGTGAATTTCTTTCAAAAAATATACTTATTTCTTTTACTGGTGTTTGTGTATGCGTTTGACCTGCTATGAAAGGTCACACATCCATGCACTGTACATGTATATCCCAATTTCATTTACCTTCCTCTGTTGGCCACAAATAAGACACCCCCAGTCAAGAATGACATTTCATCTTTTTATTTAACAGATGTGATCATATTCTCTAGAGCTTGTACGTAGAACACAAAAATTGAAATATTTATTTATATAAAGACCAAAATGGCTGCCAGTTGGCCATATTTTATTCTATTGAAGTCAGATTAACAGATACAAAGATGATTCTGTGAAGACAATTATTGAAATGAATGGAACCATTATTAATGGTCTTCATTTTGGGATGTTTTGCTAAAACACAAGGATACACTACAGTTTCATTTCTTATAGCTATACATAAGTCTATAGCACAACACGAGGTAACAACTGCACAAATTACAGAAAAGACATAATTTTACCTGTTAATCAATAAATGTTTATCACCATGTTTCCATAGTCATGGTTTTATGCATATTATCAAATAAGTGTAGGCATAGAAACGGTTACAATGATTCCATGGATAGAATCTGTTTTTCTGTGCTGTAGGGTCCAATGGTGGTTTCAATTGCTGATTTGTAGTCCATAAGCGGTACCATTCGATATCTCGGTAGTTTCAACTTTCCCTTTTTACTCCAGTCACATAATTCTGATATCATTGTTTGGGCTTCATCAGCTGTAAACAATAATCATGAATTATTCAGTATCACATGATCATGTTGAACAAGCTGATTGGTTGTTGTTTATCCAGATGCTGTCCTGAACAGTTAATATGAGAAAGCGCCCTCTACAGCCAGTCTATATCATACTATAGAGATAGAGGGCGCTATCCACTATCATTTGACACACAGAATGAAATTAAAACATATTTGTGAACAGATTAGTTATCACTGGGTTTTATTTTTGATATTTCTGACAAGTCTCGTAAAGTACAGTAGAACACTGCTACACTAGAAAATTTAAGAATTTAAAAAAACGTCAAATATCAATATATTGAAATTAAATACCAGGGAAAATGTTTCAGGGAGAAATAAGTCATGTTAGAGTTTTCATACTTATATGAAAACTGACATGTTCACAGATTCTGAAAAAAGTCTCTACTCCCATTTTTCATTTTTATCATGCCATCCAGTAATACACAACTTTGATATCATTAAATATCAATAATCCAGTTGGCAAGGTGATTGGTTGCCGTGACATCCAACCATAGTTTACCATGGTACCACCATGTCTGTAGTTTAAAATAAATAATTTAGAGTGTGTGTGTGCACTGATTCCTCATTTTCAAATACATGTACTATAAATATTTCATGAAGTGATATCAGCTTTACCTATATTATAATGGATTGTTCTTACTTTTCAAATAACCCACTCTCGATATTTCATGAAGTGATAGCAGTTTTACCCTTAATATAATTGTTTGTTCGTAATTTATCAATACCCACTCTCATATTTCATCAAAGTGATAGCAGCTTTACCCATAATATAATGGTTTGTTCCTATTTTTCAATACCCACTCCAGATATTTCATCAGTTATAGCAGCTTTACCCATAATATAATGGTTTGTTCCTATTTTTCAAATACTTACTCTAGATATAACATCAAAGTGATAGCAGCTTTACCCATACTATAATGGTTTGTTCCAACTTTTTAAATACTTACTCCCGATATTTCATCAAAGTGATAGCAGCTTTACCCATATTATAATGGTTTGTTCCTATTTTTCAATACCCACTCCAGATATTTCATCATTGATAGCAGCTTTACCACCAACAACATTCAGGGTTTGCCATGGTCTTTAAAAACAAGCACACAAGACAGGAACAAATATTTAAAGATCAAACAGTGATTCTGTGCAAACTGTTCATTCAAACAGAAATACAAGTGTAAATATTGAGAAACATTTCTATTCCAAAGGTTGTTATTTTTGCATAAATAAGTTAAAATGTGACTTGACAATTCATTCTATGCATCATGTGTATTAATTTTCAACATAGTAATCAACCACATAAAAAAACGTGCATGTTGGCCAGCACAAACTCTTGCAATACTCTACTGTATTTGGATTGCATCTAGAGAAATCACTGGAAAAACACCAAGATTAGAACATCCAAATACACACAGAATAAACCCACAGGTACACAGCTGCTAAGATAATAAACAAAAGACCACATGTTAGTCTCACCTTTGACCCAGGTGATGCATGCCCCAAACAGGGCACACCTGTGAAAACAAATTTCATTGGTTCTTGCAAGGCATTTAAATACCAACGGTGATTGGTTGATCAGTGGCATGAGACCTTAAGAGAAATAAGAAAGTTAGATAATTTGTTCATCCCTCCAGTGGGTGATAGAACAACTTCAGGAGATCAACACTTGATAATTCAAATTTATGCAAATTCACAGAATTCAGATACTGGTAAATGTTGGAAAGTAGGACTCATGGTGGCGCTATATATTTCACATGTCACAGCCCCTAGTGTCCTTGTAACTAAAATTCCTAATTAAATTTCTTTTTAAATTCTTCTTTAATTAATAAAATGAAAAAAATGTTGGTCACTGCTTGTACTTTTATTTGTTTTTTTTCAAAAAGGTATACTGAATTAAATGAAATTTTAGCATTTTGGTTGAATCTCTAGAGATCAATAAATCAAATCTGTCAACATTGTATATTCTAATGTAAATGTTTATCCTTGCTTGGTCACATGCCCAAATATAGGTTCACTGTCTTTACTGTGATGTAGAAGGCTGTGAATGACCCCAAGACATAACACTGCATTCTGAACATGCTTGACCATAATTGCTTG